GAAGGAGGAGGAATGAGCATCCTCTAGCCTGCAGCAAAGCATCTGCTTTAGCAGGATGATGAGGATGAGGAAGCTGGGACGCATTCAGCTGGTATATATTGTAATGCATTCCTCCAAGGCAGAGACCAACTCCTGCTGTGTGTAGAAGTGATAATGCCAACCCCCTATCCCACATCTCTTCCTGATTAGGCACTGCCTGCCTTGAGATCTTGTTTTCAGATGTTGTCTCAGCCATCAGTCCATGCCTTTGCTGTGTGTGGAACTGCTCTGAAATCTGTCTTGCTCCACCCTCTCTAAGCCTTCCTTTTTAATGCTGTTTTTTAAATGACCTCGCTTGGTCCTTTATATATTTCTGATGGCTTTCTTTTCTCTAACTTCCTTTTCTGTATGGATTGAGCTCCTTCAAATTCAGTTTGTTTTAATGTAACTAAAATTGTAATTGTAATGTTTTAGTGTGTTTTTGGAAATGACACCATGCCCTAAGCCCCTTGGCCAGGGGCACTTCTGGAAGCAAGGAATTGCTGTTGCATAATATTAAAAATCCCAGGATATTTTTTACCCATGTGTAGGGGTTCGTTTTTGCCCTTGTCCATTACTTTCCTTCCCACCAATGTAATAGAGTTAGCTTCCTGGGTCCTGTTTGCCTGCAGATCTCCCACCAAAACAGTGTTTCAGTATTGCTGTTGTGTCTAGGCCCTGATCCTGTGGTGAGTGCTGTGTAGGCAGATGCCAGCAGGATTGGGGCCTCATTTGTAAAATATCACAGTATCTTGCAGGCTGAAAGTCACTATGTATATAGAAAACCACCCTGTTTTTCAAGAGTCAGCTAATTATAGACAAACCACTTTAGTGTGAAATATTTAAGTGGAATAATCTGAAATGTGTTAAACAAACAGAAATTTCCTGTGTTTATGTTGCCCAAATATTGTGATTATTTTTAAAGTTGCAAAAGTCAGTCACTTTATTTCATGAACAAAGAGACCCATTATGTGGAGCTTGCTATGCCTGAGAAACCATGGTTCAGTTCTTGGCACAGCTATGTAGGCCTGGAATTACAACTGAGTTTGCAGTGTGCAAGTGGGCAACCTCTGAAAAGAAAGAATTCAACTATGCCATACACTGTCAAAACAATAGTGGACCATGTTAGGCCCCACTGTTGGAAAGACCGACATCCAAAATGTGTTCTGAAGCTCTGTTGTTGCTATAGAGTTGGAACAAGAGAGCCTGGGTGGAGGAAGGGGGGAGAGGGGCGCGGCGGAGCTAGGCTTTGAATGGAAGCCAGAGAAGGAATGTGGTTATGAAAACTCAAGAAAGAGAAGTGTAAAATGCTAAATTGAGAACTTGTGATTGTTTATATAAACACTGGGGATAGGCTTGAATTTTGTCACTTACAAGCTTCCCTGCTTGTTCTATGAACTAAATTATTTAAAGATAAGACTGTATATCACATGGGTAGTGCAATCAATGTAAATTCCCACAGTTATTTTCAGTGAAAAAATGTTTTTGCTGCCTTCCCCCCCCCTGTTTGTTTGAGAAGAATGGCTTTTTGTGCACTCCCTATGTGGCTGAGAACATGGCAATTGATTTTTTTTCTAGATGTCTCCGATAACTGTACAAACAGAAATGACACACTAGGTGGTAGTGTAATGAATTAGCTGGTAACAGATGAGTTAGAGAGTCCTGTGTGAGCTGTTTGCAGTTGTGTTAATAGAATCATCTTCTTGCTTGTGGTTAGAGCAGAACACTGCAGAAATAGTTCATTTTTAAATTTTGTATCAATTTTATACCTACTTGATCCATAACTAGAAGTTTAGAAATAAGTGGGTGGGTTTTTGATCAGTCCCTAAGAGGACTTAACAGCACAAATTTGGACATAATAATAATTGTGTGTGATGTGATGTGATGTGATGTGATGTGATGTGATGTGATATATATATATATATATATATATATATATATATATAGTAGCCCAATGTCTGTGACTCTGAAACGCTGGCTGTTCCCTCTGCCTCCTGCCGTGGCACTCGGCTGACTTCTGCACCATTCAGCCAGGCCCCCGCGTGGGACCCAGGCGGGG